ATTAATGATAACTGATGTCTCTATGTTGCTTTTTTTTAAAAAAAAAAAAAAAAAAAATCTCAGATTTTAAAACTATAAAGGTGGTAAAAGGACGTGTGGGAAAAGCTCCTCTCCACAGATAACGGGTCCAAAAGAGAGATGACCCCCAAGAGGAGAAACCAATAGAAGAAAAGGGAACGAACGCTAAAAACGGGTCATACGAGGGGGTCGGAACCGGATGGAACATCACCCCCAGAAATGGCCATACTAAATTAAGTCACAAAATGAGACAAAACCCGAACAAACATAGGCGGAGACTTGCGCCTCGGCTACTAGCCAGTCTAAATAAGCCCCTTTTTCATTTTTTTTTCTAAAAAGGACTAGATTGGGATCTCTACGTTGTTTGAAATTAGGATAAAACTATAGCCGCATTTTTTCAAACTGTAATTAGAGCAATTCTTTATTCTTTTTCTGTTTCGACATTATATTTCACAAAGGACTCCCAGTCTATTTCTCCATACTGTTCTATTCTGTGCAATCACTTTGATATTATCGATGGAATCTACTCCAGCAGACTTTAGTTTCGCACGTTATTTATATAAGAGAAGAACGCAAACACTTAATAAATTCTTCTTCTTCTTCTTCTTCTTCTTCTTCTTCTTCTTCTTCTTCTTCTTCTTCTTCTTCTTCTTCTTCTTCTTCTTTTTCTTTTTCTTTTCTTCTTCTTCTTCTTCTTCTTCTTCTTCTTCTTCTTCTTCTTCTTCTTCTTCTTCTTCAGAAGGGCTGTTAGTTTAATAGCTAATGGTCATTAAGGTGACTGTTCGCACCTATATAAAGAACTCATGCTATTACCGCACCAGGAACGCCTACTATTCAATAAAGCTAAACTTATTAATAAAATCGTTCTAAAATGCTCCATTTTCTTTGGCCATTTTTAAATACAGTGGAAGACACAGCAAACGCCTTAACATATTGCATATCTCTAAACCTAGAATAGACCTATACAAAACAAGCTTAGCGTACTCTGCAGCTTAGCTGTGGAATCATCTTCCACCGGGAAAACAAAATAATAATAATAACCCCTATACATACAATCGGAAACTTTTTGAATAGTATCTCACTACAGATTATATGCCCCCTTAAATGATTATGTTAAGGCTATGATGTATTTCCATGAGATGCATACTTAAATGTTTGCAATTAATATTTAATTGTTTTTGATGATGTTTATATTATGTAACCTATAAGACTTACATCATTTTTGGAACAGGCCTATTTTTATACTCTTTAAAACGTTCAATTAATGTCAGTATAAATTAGAGCACATTTCAGCATTTGTGATTAAGACTTAGATATTGTAAAAAAAAAATATTTCTATAATTCTTTAATTTTTAATTTTGTATTCCTATTTTTATATTAATAATAATAATTATTAATAATATTATTATTATTGTTATTAATATTCTTAATAACTTTGAAATGAGGTACAAATGAAAATGGTATAAATGAAGCGGAGTGGAAGGGTAGAATGTGAGACGGGCCTGCGTGCCCAATTCTTAACAGTTTAAAAATAAAATTTGTTCGTTTGTTGTTGTTGTTGTTGTTGTTGTTGTTGTTGTTGCTGTTGTTGTTGTTGTTGTTGTTGTTGTTCTTCTTCTTCTTCTTCTTCTTCTTCTTCTTCTTCTTCTTCTTCTTCTTCTTCTTCTTCTTCTTCTTCTTCTTTTTCTTCTTCTTCCTCCTTTCCTTCTTCTTTTTTCTTCTTATTCTTTCTTCTTCTTCTTCTTCTTCTTCTTCTTCTTCTTCTTCTTCTTCTTCTTCTTCTTTCTTCTTCTTCTTCTTCTTCTTCTGCTCTCGCCTTCAAAAGGGTTGCTGGCGCGTTTTTTGTTTAGGTTTACAGCTGTGCTGCGATATGTGAAACCAAGGCTTCTAATTTAAACATAAAAATCCCTTTAGTCATCTTTTACTAGATTTTTGTTATGTAGGCCGTTAGTCTATACTTTATTATTTTCGCTTCAAATGGGCCTCGGGATCCACACGGAGAACTTTATAAACTCAAGAACTACCATACACAGCTAGAGACCACACACACACAAACAAAAAGACAACATACCATGCTCATACATCAAAGTGAACAACAAATCGTCTACTTGTTACACAATGAGGGGTCTTTTCCAAGCTCACGATGATTATTTGGCAATCACCTGAACTCACTCGGGGGAATTGGGTCTCATATGTGCTCCTTGACAAGTCGGAAAGCTCCTGTTGTCTGGAGCTTTAGTGAAATATGCTGCGTTTCCGAATTTTTCTGATAAAGTCGACTAGATGATGTAGCGGAGTAGAGGTATTTGTTGTTATGAACACAAGATGTTTGTATTTACCAAACACAGTAGCGTCTTTTTTGGTCATAGCACAAGCTGATGGTATCTACAAAACACAAATAGCATCTGTCTACTCAGAAAACAAGCAGTTTGTATCTACACAACACAAGTAGCGTCTAGTTACTCAGAATACACGCTGTTTGTATCTACAAAACACAAGTAGCGTCTATATACTCAGAACACACTCTATTTGCATCTACAAAACGCAGGTAACTTCCATTTGCTCAAAACACACGCGGTTTTATATCTAAAAAACACAAGTAGCGTCTATTTACTCAGAAACACACGCTGTTTGTATCAATTAAACACAAATAGTGTCTATTTACTCAGAAACACACGCTGTTTGTATCAATTAAACACAAATAGTGTCTATTTACTCAGAAACACACGCTGTTTGTATCAATTAAACACAAATAGTGTCTATTTACTCTGAGCACAAGCTGTTTTTAATTAGGCAGTGTCTATTTAGTCACACATCATCATCATCATCATGTAGCAGGTCCTTTGCAGAATGTCGCTCTCATCACAGTGTGCCTGAAAAAAAAAACTCGGTCTCTCGCCAGTTCTTCCACCTCATGCACTTTCATACTCAAGGAGTCACTTATATCCTGTGTCCCGCCTCGTGTCGGTCGGTCCCTGCCCCTCCTTCCTGGTACCATGCCTTCTGCTATATTTGTTTTTCCAGTCCGCCGTGGCGCTTGATATGACCCAAATATTTCAGGTTCCGAAACATTATGATTTTTATTAGCCAATTTTCCTTGATGTTCTGATTTTTCAAGATGTCAGTATTTCTCCTCTTCTTTGTCCAAGATATTCTGAGAATCTTTCTATAGCATTTCAGCTCAAAAGCCCCTATTGTCTTTCTTAAGGAATGAGAGATAGTCCACGACTCAGATTTTTTTTTTAAACAGAAGAATTCTTTTTTTTTTAGTCTCTCTCTCTCTCTCTCTCTCTCTCTCTCTCTCTCTCTCTCTCTCTCTCTCTCGCTCTCTCTCTCTCTCTCTCTCTCTCTCTCTCTCTCTCTCTCTCTCTTTGTCACACGCACACACGCACACACACACACAAAACCCTGTTTATATCTACCCAAACAGTAGGCGCGGCAGCAGCTAATCTGTCAGCCTGCTCGTTACCTCACACACCCGAATCTCATAGACAGAAAATCCATGACATGCATATCCGGCATAAGATCCTTATCTCACGTTTCTAAAGACCAGTCGGTTCTTGATTGGTTATTAGGTCAAGAATACACTTTGTATTTACTGGTCATTTATATTTTAACGTGTCCCTTTACCTTCTTATTGAATGTATCATGTGACCAAAATCCGTATGCGTGAGAATTCTTCTTCTTCTTCTTCTTCTTCTTCTTCTTCTTCTTCTTCTTCTTCTTCCTTTCTTCTTCCTTTCTTCTTCTTCTTCTTCTTCTTCTTCTTCTTCTTCTTCTTCTTCTTCTTCTTCTTCTTCTTCTTCTTCTTCTTCTTCTTCTTCTTCTTCTTCTTTCTTTGCTACCGAAATGCCTAGCTGCGTTAGAACAGGAAGGGATCTCAGGAACGCCTTGTATTTAATACATTTCAGTGTCTCTGATACTTCTGTGGTCCATGTTCTACGTGGTCGACCTCAGGTTCTGTTATCGTAACGGTATTTATTCCCAGTGTGGGTTTCAGGGCCCTATTATAGGGACAACAAAACTAGACCCACTGCCTGCCCAAAAGCGTGTCTAAGAGTCGACTAATTGGGAGCTTACTTTGAAATCGGCGTACATCTGCCTGAGGAGCAAGGAACCAACAGTCTGCATACAAATTAGTCAGATCTGTCAAATGATTGCACAGGCAACACCTGGTTCTAGAACAGTACTGGAGTCTAGACATGGACGAATAACCAGAACTTTCCGCTGGAGTTTACAGCTAGTGAACGCGAAGAAGAAGAAGAGTTTCTGTATAAGAGTGTTCTCTGTGGTGCCCTGTTTATGCCAATCTTGTTACATGGCCAAACCATTTGATTTGTTGTCTACCTATACAGTTAAGTGTTGGTTATGTGCTGACTCTCCTCCTTATATCATCCTTTCTAAGTCGATCTTTCCTCGTTATACCTAACATAGTACATAAACATTTAATTTCTGTCGTGACTGTGTTCCTTCTCTCGTCTGAAGACAGTGTCAATTTTTGACATCAAAATCAGAGCGTTAGTAAGAATATTGAGTTTAACAGTGTTTTTTAATGTTCATATTCACACATAGAGCCGTGCGATGACTTTCTTTTATCTTCTACTGGCTCGCCTCATCGCACGCTCGCTGCCATCTCACAAAACCGACATCACACGACGAGCAGAAAATGGACGACTGGAAAACAACACGATACTGTTCCAGTACTTTAATCTTCCACTCGCGGCTTACACAGCCGGCACATGAACTAGACAACTGTCCAGGCACACATTATAATGCAAGTATCAAATATTATCTTCAAGCAGAAATCACAATCGTCCTACACTAACATCTTGAACGAAACACAGCAGCTGTCCTGACAGACAAACTCAGACGACCCGCAGACATATTACTGGCCAGCTTTTTTCGCCAAGTTGGACTGGAACAAATTCACCCACAAAAACATCTGCTGAATCCACACATCATCCACCGCTGTCCATGCACACTGTTCCTGGGTCCAAAACGAGACTACTCACAAACCTTTTCTTCGCTATTATATAGCCCTCTGATCTGTCCTGTTCTCGAATATTCTGGATAATTTCATTCTAACGAATTCCCCGTTGAAAGTCGTGTCTGGCCCGTGATAATTCGCATTTCACACAAATCCTGCCAGTCAACCTTCACGGTTCACGTGAACAATCATGTTTCACATAAAACCTGACTTTCAGATGTCTCTCATGAAACTCAAGACATAAATCTCGTGTTATCTCCGTCAGTCAAAACATTCACCTTACATTTATTACTGACGTCATCTATCGGGCATAACCTAATGGGGAGAAAATGACTCACTACAAGCCGGTTTTAACATACGACTGTGAAAAAAATGCACCTTAAATTTTTTCCATTTCTTAATAAAGACGAATCTTCATCAGACATTTATTGTATGCGGTAAGCAGCTTAATAGGCTTTATCTTTCATTCAATTATGTTAGCAAAGCGCAAGTTTCGAAGGGAAAAAATATACAATTTCATTACAAAGGTCAAAAAAATCAAAACCAGAAATATTTGCGTTGGGAACAGCTCGCATCATCTCATAATAGAAGTACAAAATGACAAACACAACCAGACATGACTGTCTCAAGTTCAGGGGGTTTGTACGGTAGGGGTCGAGACTTTTGACGCGAACACTTACTATCACTAACGTACAGGTCAAATCAGTACTCTGGGTGATCCGCAACGGCCAGACGTCTTGTTTAGGGTCTAATGTGATCACACAAAGTGAGCTACAAGCAAATCCAATTACGGTCAGCAAAGTATAATGAGTTTTGTTACATTAAACATCAGCTTCCGCTGAACAGAACCTATTGGGCCAGCTTAGTAGTGGCTTCGTTTCTGTAGCTGTTGTATTGAGCTAACCCCGGGTTCATCGGCGCTGACGTCGAGAGATGGAATTAGACTGGGCGTTGTTTGTTCACTAGAGACAGGTCACTTTTGTCATTGTAGTTCAGTTCAAGTAGAGTTTCTGTAACTCTAATTACACAAGCTCATCATTGTGCATATTGTCCAACGCTAATTACATCAGTAACATCCGCTGTTGGCTGATAATGACTCTAAACAATCACCTACTTGTGAAATGATTAGTACAGGGGCACTTTACAAACACCATAGAGGAGGTGGTAATTTGTAGGGTCTTTCTCTCCCCCCACCCCCCCCCCCCCACGCCCCAATCCCCCTCCTCTGCCAGGGGCATTGTACAAACAGGTCTTCATTTTACGTCTGCCATTTTATCTCCTGAGAAGTCTTCCATTTACATCTCGTCCATTCTATTTCTTCATCGTGACTCTCTATTGCAGTTGATACTAGTGTATTCTCACCAGATGGCCACCCATTTTCGTCTTTTGCTCTCTAAAAAACTGTGTGCCTAGTTTTAGTCTAAGCCTTTTTTAATGTCTTAACGTTAATTGTTGTCTCTGAATGCACAAATGCTTCTACGACATCCTATATCTGTTGAGTTAGTGTGCTCATTAGTTTGATTAGGGGTCCACATAAAGGAAAACACAGCGACGGGGCTATAGCGTTTGTGATCTGTGCGGTATATAGAAAACGAACGAACACACACACTTTTTTCCCCCGAAGGGTTAAGAATTAGGCACATAGGCCTAACATTCTAACGTCCAACATTTTGCCCTTCAAGTAGACTACTTGCAAACAGTTACTAATTCGTACACCTTTGTGCCAGACAGACAGACAGACAGACGGGGCCGCGTTAGCGCAGTCGATAGGAGGCTCGCTTTCAAATTCAGCTGCCACTCGCTGCAGCCACGGTCTGTGTTCGAAACCGGGCGGTTCCCGGGGTTCACCCTGCCGCTGGGAAATGGGTACCAGAGTTGACACTCTAGGTTAAATGGAGGAACGTCGCTGTAGCTACAGAGTTACGTGCGGACGGCGACACAGGCGGACATTTCTTATCAGCTGTCCGTTCTGGTGGCAGAGCACTTTTAGTTTATAACCGTGTGCAATGACACTGGTTCACATCTCCCGATTTTACCTTCAGACGGACGGACAGACAGACAGACAGACAGACAGACAGACAGACAGACAGACAGACAGACAGACAGACAGACAGACAGACAGACAGACAGACAGACAGACAGACAGACAGACAGACAGACAGACAGACAGACAGACAGACAGACAGACAGACAGACAGACAGACAGACAGACAGACAGACAGACAGACAGACAGACAGACAGACAGACAGACAGACAGACAGACAGACAGACAGACAGACAGACAGACAGACAGACAGACAGACAGACAGACAGACAGACAGACAGACAGACAGACAGACAGACAGACAGACAGACAGACAGACAGACAGACAGACAGAC